CCTTTGTAGTGGATTCGATGAAATCGATAGAGAGCGTCAAATAAATAAAGAAGACAATGAATTCAAACTCTGGTTCAATACTTAATCTAAATCAATTAATATTTTAATTTTAAAATATTTAAAATGATATTAAGATGATTTATAGAAGAAGGTAAAGAATTGATGTAGCAGATAAAAGAAGAGAATGAGAGGCAGAGATAGAGTGAGAGCGAGAGAGAGAGATAGACAAAAGTGGTTGCAAAGTGTATTTTCTTATGTGGATCGATAAAATAATTCGAGAAGGGAGCTCGAGTAATATACGAGAAGAATAGGAGTAAGAGATGAGCAAAGCGAACGAGTGAGGGAAAAATAGACAAATAGCACAGAGAGAAGAGAAGAGTGAGAGTGAGAGAGAGGACAGGGGAGAGAGAGATAAACGAAAAAGAGATTAGAGAGAGAAAGAAAGAGAGAGAATGGAAAGAAGAAAAAGAGAGAGAAACAAGAGAGTGGCGAGAGATAGACAAATAAGAGAGAAATAGAGCGAAAGAGATGAGGCGAGAGAGAGAACACAGGAAAAAGAGAGAGACGAAAGAGAAAGAGAAATGAAGCGAGAGAGATGGAGAAGAGTATAGAAAGATAAGAGAGAGAGAAAGAGAAGAGCACAAAAAGAAATGAGAGAAGATGAGATTAAGAGAGATTGAGCGAGAGAACAGGAAGAGAAAACAGATGAGAGAGCTAGAGAAGAAAAAAAGCAGAATATGGTGAGAGACACAAAGAGAAAAATGAGAAGAGAAAGAGAAACAGGCCAGACATAGAACAGAGAGAGATAAGATAGAGAGAAAATGAATGAAAAAGGAAAAAAAAATTAAGAGAAGAGAGAGAGATAGAGACAGAGAGATCAGGAAGATGAAAAAATGAATGAAAAGAGAACAATGTTATATCAAAAGAGTTAAGAGACATGTTTTTTTTAATTTTTTTTTGCGAGCCAAAAAAAATACTGTTGAATTTTCAATACCATTTTGTGACTGTATAATATGAAAGCTATCTCAAAACCACATCACCAAAATCTTTTAACATTCACACATAACGAAAAAAAATAACAAAAAAAATACCGATAATTCAAGTTACATTTTTTTGATATTTTTTATGTATTTATTAATTTTTAAAAATATTTTTTTCATAATTTTTTTTATTTTTTAGAATACATCTAAGTTAAGGGTACATCTAAAAAAAATATTTAAAATTTTTAAAAAATATTCACTAAAAAAAAACACGAAAGCCCACTTTTTGTGACGGCAGAAATGCCGTCTCAAAAAAGCAGAGTATTGGCGACGGCCCGCAAGCGACCAATTTGCCGTCTCAAAAAAAAGTAGAGGCATTTGCAACGGCACTATTTGCCCGCTCAAAAAATGAATGAGTATTTTTGCGACGGCACCATCGCAAATACTCCCATTTTTTTGAGACGGCAAATAGTGTCGCGAGCCTAAATGCTCTGCTTTTTTAGACGGCAATGTGCCGTCCGGCAAATCTCTGCTTTTTTGAAGACGGCATTTCCTGCCGTCACAAAATGACTTTTTGAAGCACGACAAAGTGTGGCCGCGCAAATAGTTCTGTCTCTAATACCGTACAGTTTTCTTGTAGTGAATTGTTCCGTTTTTATTGCTTCTAAAGTTCGACATATCTAGAAAAAATTGTTACACTAACAATTATAGTTTTTTGACCCTTGATGTTTGAAGTCGTTTGGAATATTATAGTTTTTTGGAATTTTATTTCTGTTTCGAATTTTTATATTTTCTTTTTTTAAATTTTTGAAAATCCCTAATTATGTTATTTCAATTTTATTTATATTTTTCCCTGATCTAGATAACTTTTTTCTTTCCTCCAAAAGTACCCCTCCCAACAAGATTGATCAAACAAAATAAAATTATAAATGCTTATCCAAACAACAGTTAAAACTCCCATTTATATACAAGTTTGAACATTTAAAGCACTCATACTGCATCTATAGGCACTGCTGAGGCAGTGAAATCATAGAACCCTCAATTCAATAAAATGACATTAAGTTGTGTTTAGATTAATACATTTGAAATAAAAGGTAATCCATATTAATTATTTATGAACAACAACTCAAATTTATATATTGATAGTTTAGACATGGATTTCAAAATATAATAAGTCGGTTTTTAGATATGTCATTATTCTAACCTAAATAACAATACCAAATTCAAACACTCTGTAAGTCCGGCACAATTAGATAGAAAATTATATGGTGATTTTGGGACAAATCTATGTGATATTCTAATAAAAATTTTATTGATTGAAATAATTATTGTTCATAATTTTGTATTAATTTTAAAGAGTCACTGTAACAATGTTATGTGATAAATAAATTCATCAAATAAACTCACTATGAACTTTACTATCTGAGAGGGTAATTTTTTGGAAAAATTGGGCCGAGCTTCGAGTTGGGTTTTGAGGCCCAAAACGCAGAGGACTAGGTAAAAAGGTCGTACTGAATATTCCGGCCTAGAGGGCAAGGTTACTCCGGCCTTGGGGAGACAAAGTTACTTCGGCCCGAGAAGGTGAGTTTATTCCGACTCAAGAAGAGATAGTTGCTTCGGCCCAAGGAAGAGTAAGGCTACTCCGGTCCAGAGACAACTCGGAGTAGGGCCGGTCTTAGAGTTAGTCCGGTCGCAGTATGTTCTGGGAGGACCGGAGTAGGGCCGGTCTTAGAGTTAGTCCGGTCGCAGTATGTTCTGGGAAGACCGGTTTCGGAATTAGTCCGGTCGTGACACACTCTGGTTAAGTCGGTCAGAACTTGTTACTTGGAAGTTTGATCTAAGCATACCAAGGTTGAACAGGGGCAGCCGAAGTAATGAGTTAAAGGAGAAGACCGAGCTAAGGATAGTTCGGCCTTCTCTGTGGCTCAGCATAGCCAGTGTTATTTCGGTCGTGTGGTAGTTCGGCTATGGAGAAAACCATCCCACTTGGTTTAAGCAGTGGGGGAGGGTGTAAAAGGATAAGCATTATCCTTTGGAGTATGAATCCTAGGAGGACTCTGCATGGAGAAATACAAGTCCTACCAGGATTGTGCCACGGGAAACTTATAAAAGCTCACAAGCATCACCTTGGAGGAGGTAATTGAACACAATCTTTCTGAGAATTTAGAGCTTTGTCTATTTGTCTAGTTTTCTGACTTAGGCATCGGAGAGGTTTCCGGCGCACACTCGCCGGCTAGCTCACGTTTGTGTTTTCAGGTGACAAAGCGACATCGTACGAAGGAGCGTGAACTTGGTCAACAGGATTATACGAGGAGAATTATTTCCTCCCCGTACAATTCACAAATACAAATATAAACATGCCTGTTTGGACCTGCACAAAAATAAACTTGCCGTCTTTCTCACTCACCAATGACTTGATGACAAACCACAACGGTCCATCAATCGATGAAAAGAAAGGTCAGAACAACTCATATGAATACTTAAAAAAATAAAAAATAAAAAATAAATGGTTCACTTGCTATCTAGTGGAGAAAGAGAAATCTGGATCTTGTTCTGCCCATTTTCAATCCATCTATTTTCAAGACATTTAAGTATAAATCATTAATTTTAAAAAATAATAAATTAATTTGCTACTCAGAACTATAAAATTTTATCACATTAATTAAAAAAAATTACTATCTATTTTCAAATTTGAATGAAAATTTTGATAGAATGATACCCCTATTTCATTTCATTCTAGTGGAGTAAATATTTGATATAATGATAATACTAGTAACGGTATTACATCCAACGAATAATATTCTTAATTTGTAGTAGGAACCACGACATTATTAGGTGAGTGTTAGACAAAACTTTCCATCTAATTCCATTTGCGGTGTTTTATTGGCTATGACACCATATAGGTTGGTATCACCGTTATACTAATTTATTCCAGTAAACCAAGCACTATCTCAATTTTAATATATCTTTTAAAAATAAACATAATTTTTGTGAACCACAATAATTAACAATTCAATCTCTATACTCAAACACCCCCCCCCCCCACCCCCCCCCCCCCCCAAAAACAAAACCCTCCTTTAGCATAGGCTAAAATGAGGTTTGGGGGCTAAAATAGTCACAAAAAGATAAAATATGTTCGTAGTCAATAGAATAAAATGTCACATTCAGACCATAATTATTTTATTTTTTTCACTCACAAAAGTCAAAAAAAACCAAAAAATCTAACCCAAACGAAACTTTTTAACCATGGACTAAAAAAATCAAAAAGTCAATTAACGTTCCAAACGAAACCAAACATGGACTATTAGTTTAGTGAGTAGATCATAACTTCGAACACATTTGACATGTTTGTTTGGGTGGATATGGTCATAAGATTGAACTAATAATCCAACAAAATATATAATTTGATATCTCCAATGGTAATAGGCATTTTACCTATCTAAACATTACTATAAAGTGTACATTTTATTTTGCCTATCAACTGTTTCATGTTTTTGCTCCAACCATGCTCTTTATTTTAGCTATTCATCTAAATACTATTAATTTTATAAAATGCCACATCAGCAACAAAGATGGAGGGAAATAATCCTAATGATTAAATACATTTTGCCTAGTCTTGAAGGCTAGCTACATGTAGCTAGTGAATGTGAATTGAGCTAAAATGCCTAATTACATGCCTAGTGCATTGGAGTTGAAAAAAGTGAGTCATACTAGACATTTTACCTAACAATCATTATATACCTAGTGCATTGGAGATGATCCAAACATAATATCCTCAACTATTGAATCCTAAAAGGAGGGTAAAATACAAAATGAAAGATTAAACAAAGATTATCAATCCAACCTCCTGACCTGAACCAAATACAGATAAGATATACCATCCAAAACAATTGATAATTCTAAGGCTAATAGTCTCAAAAGGATGTTAATCCGTTCAATCAAATCCCTCCAACAAATATGACGATTGTGTCTTCTTTTAGGAGATGAAAGCTATGGACTCCCTCAATAAAAGATTGGTTCATCAAGAAAAAAAGAAAACAAAATAACAAACCTTCTAAAAAAAATGAAGAACAAAGCAGAGCTTGTGTTGGTGCCAACCCCTGCAACGGGTCACCTTGTATCTATAGTAGAGTTAGCCAAACACTTACTTGACCGACACGAACATTTCTCCATAACAGTCCTCCTTATCAAACCATTCTTCTTTCCTTCCTACAATCTCTATGTCGAATCACTCGCCGCCTCCGAAAACCGACTGCGCTACATCCACCTCCCTCCTCCACCACCACCTTCGGAACCAGTAGTCCCCAAGTCTCCGGAGAAATTTTTCTCTGATTTCCTAGAAAGCCACAAATCACAGGTCAGAGAAGCAATCGTCAACCATGTGTTGTCATCTTCTCCTGCGACGGCGAGGCTGGCGGGGGTGGTGGTGGACTTTTTATGCACCGCCATGATTGACGTCGCCAACGAATTCGCAGCCCCTACTTACCTCTTCTTTCCTTCCAGCGCCGCCTTTCTCGGCCTCATGCTCCACCTCCCAATCCGCCATGCCCTGATTGGAACTGAGTTCTCCGCCTCCGATCCGAACTCAGTGACTCACTTCCCGAGTTACGCTAACCCGGTCCCTACCTCGGTCCTACCCGCCTTTCTATTCAACAAGCACGGCGGCTACAACTGCTTACTGAACCACGCCAGGAGGTTCAGAGAGGCCAAGGGCATAATCGTAAATACATTCGAAGAGCTCGAATCCTATGCGGTGAAGTCTTTGTTAGCCTCGCCGGAATCGCCACCGGTTTATGCCGTCGGGCCGCTGCTTGACCTCGCCGGCAATGCCCGATCGGGGAGCGATCGAGACAAGATCTTGAAATGGCTCGACGAACAGCCTATGTCGTCAGTCGTGTTCCTCTGCTTCGGAAGCCTAGGGTGCTTTGATCCGCCGCAGCTGGCGGAGATTGCGGCGGCGCTAGAGAAGAGCGGCCACCGGTTCTTGTGGTCCATACGGCGGCCGCCACCCGAAGGTGGGTTAGCGATGCCGGCCGATTGCGGCGGCGATCACGAGGGCTTGCTGCCGGAAGGGTTTCTGAAACGGACGGAAAACAGAGGAATGGTGTGCGGGTGGGCCCCGCAGACGGCGGTTCTGTGCCACGCGGCGGTGGGAGGGTTTGTGTCGCACTGCGGGTGGAACTCGATTTTGGAGAGCTTGTGGTTCGGTGTTCCGATCGTGACATGGCCGATCTACGCAGAGCAACAGATCAATGCGTTTGAGATGGTGGTGGATTTGGATCTGGCTCAATCAAAGAAAAAGATGTGAAGAAGTTTGTTTGGCAAAATATTATCACTCGGTTTGGCATACCAAAAGCACTGATCTCAGATAATGGAACTCAGTTCGACGGCAGAATTTTCAGAAGCTTTTGTGAAGAATACAAGATAGAGTTCTACAATTTTACACCGGCATATCCTCAAGCAAATGGGCAGGCTGAAGCATCAAATAAAGTCGTCTTGGATGGACTAAAGAAAAGGCTAGAGAAAGCAAAAGGCAAGTGGGCAGATGAACTTCCTCACGTCTTATGGGCTTACCGCACCACACTTCGGCGATCAACTGGAGAAACACCATTCTCCTTAGCTTACGGAATGGAAGCAGTAATCCCACTAGAAGTTGGCCTCCCCACAATTCGAAGCGAAAATTTTGATCCAAACTTAAATGGAGAAGCCATAGCCTTAGAACTCGACCTTGCAGAAGAAAGAAGAGAAAGAGCGTTAGTCCACATCGCCTCATACCAACGAGAGTTAATCCGTAAATACAGCAAAAAGGTTCATCCAAGACAATTCAAGATTGGGGATTGGGTACTACGCAAAGTAATGGGAAACACTTTGATCCCAGGCGACGGCAAGTTAGGCCCAAATTGGGAAGGTCCTTATAAGGTGGTTGGGTTAGCCGGCAAAGGGGCATACCACCTAGAAGACAAGGATGGCAAGGCAATCCCTAGGCCATGGAATACGGCCAATCTCAAGTTATTTTACTTTTAGCTTTTTCTTTTCAAACATATGTAATTTTCTCTTCCTTCAATAAAATGAGAAATTCTTTTTAGCACAAATTACTCTTTGGAAAAGTTAGCTTTCAAGACTAAGTATATTGCAAGCATTCTATTCTAAGTTAGCTGGAAAAACTAACTTAGAGGTTGGCTGGATTAAACCAACACCCTTCCTAAGCCCAGGATAAGGATCCAGGCTGCAGGACATTTGGTCGGAATAACCAAATACTATAGGTTAGCTGGAAAAACTAACTTAGAGGTTGGCTGGATTAAACCAACACCCTTCCTAAGCCCAGGATAAGGATCCAGGCTGCAGGACATTTGGTCGGAATAACCAAATACTATAAGTTAGCTGGAAAAACTAACTTCAGTGGTTGGCTGGAATAAACCAACTCTTGTTACTCTTCAGCCGAAGTAAGTGTATGGCTGAAAAGTGGTTGGCTGGAATAAACCAACTCTTGTTACTCTTCAGCCGAAGTAAGTGTATAGCTGAAGAGTGGTTGGCTGGAATAAACCAACTCTAGTTACTCTTCAGCCGAAGTAAGTGCAAGGCCGAAGAGTGGTTGGTTGGAATAAACCAACTCTAGTTACTCTTCAGCCGAAGTAAGGGTAAGGCTGAAGAGTGGTTGGCTGGAATAAACCAACTCTTGTTACTCTTCAGCCGAAAGTAAGTGCATAGTTGAAGAGTGGTTGGCTGGAATAAACCAACTCTTGTTACTCTTCAACCGAAGTAAGTGCATGGCTGAAGAGTGGTTGGCTGGAATAAACCAACACTTGGTACTCCTCAGCCGAAGTAAGTATATCGGCTAAGGAGTGGTTGGCTAGTAAGCATATTTTAACCAGCCAAAACCGTAATAACAGTTGAAGTAGTTAGAAGACGTCACAGCGCGAGCATACACATCAAAACCGGAGTAAGAGCAAAATTTCCATTCATTGAAAAAGTAAGTACAAGAGGGGCATAGCCCGGTTACAAAGACGAAATAACAAAAAAAAAAAAGGGGTACAAAATTAAGAGAAAAGTTCATCAATTTCAGCATCAAAAGCCGCATCATCAACTCGAAGACCGGTCTCAAGAGGAAGCTCACTCTCGGCTGCCATAATTGCTTCGGTTGGAACCACGTCTTCATTCGGCTGCTCGATAGGATGGTCCTCTACCATGGGTTCCAACCGAAGTGACGGGTCGGCACCAACAACCGGAATGTCTTCTGGAGCAGAGGAGTCATCAGTGTCTGAGTCCTCCAAAAACTCTTGTTGCAGAGCGTCTGCATACGCCGCAAGGGACTTCGGTATGAAGTATTCTGGAGGGTTGTAGACCTCGGCCTGTTGGTCATGACCGAGCTGCTCAACAGCCGCCCTCCAGCCACATTTGAAGAACAACTCCTTGGCAGCATCACATTGTTTCACATAGGCTTCCTCCGCCTCTTTGTAACCCCGCTTGTGCCCCTCCTTTTCGGCCGCCTCCATGTTCTTTTTTAGTTCGCTTATTTCGGCGTCCTTTCTCTTCTCAAGCTTCAACAACTCCCGCAGATACTTGTCCTTCATAACGATGGCTGCTTTCTGCTTCTCCGCTTCCACCGAACTAACTAGATCGGCAAGACGACCGTTCTCCGCTTCTAGCTCGGCCATTCTCTTTTCGGCTTCTAGTAGTTCGGCCGCCTTTGCTTCGGCTTCCGCCATCGCTTGCCTTGTGGTCTTGCGGAGTTCTTGGACTTTCCTATAAGTGATATTGTTCTTTTGCAAGGCCTGGCAATACAAAGATTTGCTCTCAGCCGAAGTAAAAAGTTGGAAAAATTTAGACAGAAAAAACAGACAGAGCTACTTACCAAGATCATGGACTTGGAAGCAGACCGAATTGATTTCATTTCGGTGTTCAGCTGCTTCAAGTAGTGCTCCATGTCCTTGGGGAGGCACACACTTTTGGCCAGGTTAAAGGCCAGTTGGTGATCTTTTTCAGCTACGACCGAGTCAGTGGCTTTGATATTTCGGTCGTTGAAGGTCAGCGGCGGAGCCCACTTCGGAGATTCAGCTCGGTCAGTTTGCTCCGGTTGAGGGGAAGGTCGAGGGCTGTGGGGGACGGATTCAACCTCATCGACAAGTTACTGTTCGGTCGATGTAGGTCGGGCGCGTTTGGAAGGGCGAGATGAAGAAGGCTGCTGAGAAGGGAGGGCCACAACGGCAGGCTGCGCCTCGACGGATGGCTGTACTTCGGCTCTGGTTGTTGAAGTTAGAAGGGCCCTGACTCTGCTCTTCTTTGCCATTTCTTCCTCAGCAGTTAATGGAACAAGTCTTATCTCGGGCAAAGTTGGGTCCGGTTCTGGTGCTTCCTCAAGAAGAAAATCGGTTACCTTGCTTTTCGGCGACCGCTATACCGGTAGGTCGGCTCAAAATTCAGAAGCTTAGCCCAACTCCTCTGTTGGCACCGTAGTGCGGCTCGCAAAATTGC